CACCCCCAGGTCCTTCTCAGCGGGACTGCTCTCAATCCATTCTCTGCCAGCCTGTATTCATTCCGGGGGTTGCCCCAAACCATGTACAGGACCTTGCACTTGGTCTTGTTGACTCTCATGAGGTCCACATGTGCCCACTTTTCAAGCTTGTCCAGGTCCCTCTGGATGGCATCCCGTCCCTCAGCTGTGTCAGCCTCACCACTCAGCTTGGAGTCCTCTGCAAGCTGAGGGTGCACTCCATCCCACTGTCTGTGTCATTGATGAAGATACTAAACAGTACCGGTCCCAATACGGACCCTTGAGGGTCACCGCTCATCACCAGTCTCCATCTGGACATTGAACTGTTGACCACTACCCTCTGGATGCAACCACCCAACCAATTCCTTATCCACCAAACAGTCTGCCCATCAAATCCATACCTTTCCAAATTGGATAGAAAGATGTTGTGGGGGACCGTGTTAAAGGCCTTACAGAAGTCCAGATAGAGGACATCCGTAGCTCTTCCCTTGTTCACTGATGCAGTCACACCATCGTAGAAGGACATGAGGCTGTCAGACAGGACTTGCCCTTGGTGAAGCCATGCTGGCTGTCTCAAATCACCTCCCTACCCTCCATGTGCCTTAGCACAGCTTCTAAGAGGATCTGTTCCATGACCTTCCCAGGCACAAAGGTGATGCTGACAGGTCGGTAGTTCCCAGGGTCCTCCTTTGTACCCTTTTTAAAAATGGGTGCAATGTTTCCCTTTTTCCGGTCACGGGGGACTTCACCTGAAGCAATAGAGCTGGGAAGATGTTACAAGGGATCATAATTTTCCAAGCTAAATTTTTTGTTTCATTCTGTTAATGTATAAATTTGATTCTATTAGCAGCGGGAATAATGCCTATCTCAGATCTGAGTCTCATAACAGCAGCTGGATTTGCAGCAGCTCCCACCACCAGGAATTCAGAGATGAGGTGTGAAAGCTCAACCTCTATGATTTCACTCTTGTCCAGATTTCAGCCACAGCATTACCTATTTATGAGCCAGGCTGAGCATATTCAGTTCATTTCAGCTCATATTCCTGCCTAGGTTGTGACATTTTTGCTTTCTTATCTTCGCCTTTCCTAGTTCCTTTTTATTCAGCTATGTAAGATCCAGTTTTCCCACTATTGTTTGCATATTCTCATGGCTTGGAGGTTTATCAGATTTATTTGCTTGAGGTTAACCAAATGAGTCAACGAATAATTGTGCTTGTAATTGCAGTTGCCCTGATAAAATGCATGAAGAAACTGGGGAAATAGATGGCATCCAGAAGGTACAACAACAATTATTTCAAACTTATATATGGTGCTGTGCAGTTAATGACCTGGGCAGAGAATGCACCAACCTCTTCACAATAGGTAACTTCCCTCTAAGGTTTACTTACATGTGAGCTCTATCCTACCGCTGAAGTCCATCGCGCTACTCATCTGAGTATGCTTTCTTGGCTAAGCTACTTGCTGGTAATCACTGGAACAAATCTAACAGTGAATGTGATTGCTCCGTCACATGTTTAAAGCCTAATTCTAACAGCTGTTTGCGGTCTCTGTAAAAAATGTCTTGCCTTTCTACATTTGCTAAACATCTATGAACTTTTTCTTCATGCTTTTAGGACTGTGATGCATGGAAACACTCTTCAAAGTTGTTCTCAAATATATACATTTATAAATAATTATAAATTCAGGTTGGTTTGTCTGGTTTTTTTAAGTAAACCTGGCCTGAGCTAAGCTCCGTGCTGAACTCTGTCCTATAGGTATGTTGTAAATTATGACAAAATTTGGTTTGAGACATCTCAATCCATGAAATTTACTAATTTAATGATTAATCAGTAATTTTCCCAAATTCTAATTATTATTACAGTATAATAATGGCTGTCTATACAGCACTAGCAGAAAAAAATGTTGATATAAATGAGCATTTTTCCAGGCAGAATGACAGTTGTTTCAGTGACTGTGTTTTGGTTTTGTAGATTTAGGTGAAAGACAAGCAGCACCTTTACCTGAATTACTTCTCAAAGTCGGGGAACCGTTGCTGATCAGATGCAGAGCTGTTCACCGTAATTATAAATTTGGAATAAAATTGTCTTTTGAAAGCAAAGACGTTGAGCAGGTAAGAAGACAGGGCATATTTTAAAATGAATAATATTGGACACTATCAACTCATTAAATGGGAATCTCTGTTGAAAACCAGGATCGCCAGTTTGAAGGATTAGAATATCAAACAGATCACTCGGCAATTCGGATCCGGTATGCGTTTGCTTCAGCGGCAGGAAGAAGTGATACTGGACGTTATACCTGTTCTTCTACCGTCCATCCGAATCAAACTGCTTTAGTTACGGTTTTAGGTAATTCCAACCCCCGGTCTTAATTTTGTCTCTCGGTTGGTTGTTTTGCTTTGTTTTCCATGTGGCAGTTCTTTGCTTACAGGTATGCAGCGTATGTTTCTAGTTGCTTTTCTAAGGAAAAAGTCTGTTTGTACTTACTGGCAGTCCAGGAGAGCCAAGAGATTAATCAAAACGGAGTCAGTCCAGTACCTGAAGATAATCAACCTTTTATTCATATTGCTTTTCAAATAGTTCCCATTAAAAGGCAGTGCTTTCAGAAGTGAAATGAAATGGTGCTGTTTAGAGATCTAGTCTACACGATTGTTTCAATGGTCTCTCTAGAAACACAGCCTGGGATTCATCTCATGTTGTTGTAGGTGATTCTCGGGCAGTGGGACGCAAAGCCGTGGTGGCTTTTTGCAGGGACGCAAAGCTATAGGGTCCCCGAGGGGCTATGCCGTGGGCTTTCTGGGCAGGGGGGAGTAGTGCGGTTGTGTAGCCCTTCTCTGTGCCGCCAACTCAGATGTCGGCAGCTGCCGAGCAGATACCACCAGCTAGAGGTAAAGCACTGCAGAGAACACCATTTTCTGGAGCTGGCCAAGAGTATAAAACGCAGGACCTGCCCTGCGTGTTCAGCTGTTAGCGCTCCGTGTATTCGTTTGGCCAAAGTCTGGAAGGACGAGTGACTGGTTTCAACTAATGTGAGACTGAAATGTCCTGCTGCGGCTGCAGTACGGGTTTTGAAAAGCCGTAGCCATGGCCTTGGTCTCCTCCCCATCACTACACCTCCCTTTCGCTCACGGATGGCATCTCCACGCCACCTTTGCTGCAACCTTCGGAGGTGGGCAGGTAGGGCAGAGGGTCTCCTGGCCTCTGCTCGGCTCTTTTGTGTGGTCCCTTCAGGTGCTCGTTGCTCTTATACAGGAAAAAAAAAAAAAAAAAGGTCCAAAATCTGTACCAGGCCTGACCGGGGTCTGACAGGAAGGGATCGAGTGGTTGGAAGGGTTTTGGTGGTGGGCTCTCCCATGGTTGGAAGGGTTTTGGTGGTGGGCTCTCCCACTCAAAACCCAGAGCAAACAAGAAATGACCGTTGCCTCGTACAACGAGACAAGTGACCATTTGAGTTTGCCAAATTTTTTATGGGAAAGTAAATCTGGGGGAAAATTTTAGCTCCAAAACCTGTGAAACTGGTAGCAGAAAAGAAATTAAACCTTTTGTGTAATGGAGAATGTAAGCCCAGAGAGATGCTGAATAGCGAGTGCTGACGGAGGTGGCAAACTGCCGTGCAGAAATGCTGCTGCAGTGGTGATGGATCTGAAGGAAAACCTGCAACTAGAGAGACGACGACTCCAGCATCATTGGGTGTTCTGCCTGGCTCCTGCTTTCCAGGCACTGAAGGGAACCATCCACCTAACACCAAGCTGCAAGAGGCCTGAAAATTTTAAAAATCAAAAGCATACCAAAGGAAACCTCATTCGACTTAAGCAACATGTTGATTTAAAAGCCAGCGGTGTTGAAGTTAGTCCATAATAGCCTCAACTGCACTCCTTGTTTCTCAGATGGAAATGATGTACGAATAGGCGTAAGGCTGGAAATAAGGCATAAAAGGGAAGGCTGTAGTTAGGACCGTGCTGCTGGAGTAGGCACTGGGAGAAGTTTTCTGACTGGTGTGCCTGGAGTTGGAGCCTGTAGCGCCGAGCACGAGGCTCTCTGAAGCACTCGCCACGCCACTGACCTTAGAGGTAGTTGCTGTCAGAGTTTACAACACCTAGGCTAGGAATGGTAGGAAGTGAGAATGCTTACCCCAGTCTCTTCAGAAATGACTTTCCCAGTGCAATATCCTCTTTTCGGCTTCTGCCTCCCACCGGGAAGGAAGTTCTCTCGTCATTTACCATCACTGAGCACGACACCTGGGCATTTTTTCTACACGCATCTTCTTATTAAACAGGAAGGTAGGGGTGAGGGTGTAGTGTAGAGGTAGGGCAAGATCCTCTTCTTTCTCAGTACTGGTGCCCAGTTCAGAAATAGTGACTTCTTGGATCCATAAACTACCAGGTGTGAGGATGCGTCACAGTAGCAGGGGGTATTTGAGTCACTGTCCCTGGAAAACTGCATTTCTGAGTGGGGTATTTTTTGACTGGGGTATGCCAAACTGTGACGATTGTACCCTCCTTAATACCCCTTATGCCAACAAAACTTCTGAGGGCTCATGGGCTTTGCTGATGAAAATATCTGTTTATTTTCTTGGTGGATTAAAGTGGGGAGATGTTGTCATAGAATCATAGAATCATAGAATCGTTATGGTTGGAAGAGACCTCAAAGATCATCAAGTCCAACCATATACCCAACACCACCATGCCCGCTAAACCATGTCTCGAAGCGCCACATCTAAACGTTTTTTGAACACCTCCAGGGATGGTGAGTCCGCCACCTCCCTGGGGAGCCCGTTCCAATGCCTAATGACCCTTATAGTGAAGAAATTCTTCCTAATATCCAACCTGAACCGCAATGCTTCTCTCTCCAAGGTTATACAGGGACAACCTGTGCTTCTGATCCACCCCAGCCTTTAACCTAATGTATTAATGACGACCATTGTTGGTGTGAATTTGTGCTATCATCCCAGGTTCAGTTTTGGCAGTGATAGAGAGACAGATTTCACTGGGTTGTCCATGTCATAGGGTAGCAGTTTTTGCAATCATCAGTGTCCTGCCTTGAAACCATCCCTATGCGTGAGTCAGCACCTGTAGCTACCCTGGGAATGGTCGTGATATAATTTAACAGAGAGAAAACCGGTGTGGTTGGCACATACTGCATTGCCTGAGGAGCCTGGGTAGCAGAACGACATTGATGGGTGATGTTCTAATCTCTAATAACGCCTTGCAGCCAGCCGGCTCTGGTTTGCTCTTTGTTAAGTGATACCTCACCAACTTTTCCCATCTTGTGTAGCCGGTCAGGTCAGCCAGAGTGGTTAGGCCACTTTAAAGCACAACAGAGATCATGCCAGCAACTGCAGCTGCAAGGCTCTTTCTTCTGTAGTTCTTAGGCTCAGTTTCCACCAGTGTTGAATAAAGAATTTCTAGCACTACGCAATCGCAATCTTGATTCAGGAATATGCAATCTGTTTTGCAACACGTTAGGTTTAAAGCAACAAATAAACAAATACGATAAATGCAGAGACTTGAAAGCTTTGATTCTAGTCTCAAGAATTTCATCTCACCTCTCTGTCATTACTGAATAATCATGTTCACTGTTTCTCTGGCAGAAATACACTTAAACCTGCCAAAAAATGATAAGCCAAGCAATAATGTGCTATTTTCTTTTTCCTTCAAGAAATAAGCAGCTTTTTCTGAGTTGTTTTCCAGAGAAATGGCATACCCTGCTCCAAGGTCCTTGTGTGCACTCTGGAGAAGGCCTTAACTCTTGGCTGGTTGTGTTGTTAACACTGGACACAGAGATGACATTCTGCCTGGAAGGATGAGGTCCAAAAGATCATTCAAAGGATGAAGGTCCAATTTATAAAACCAATAAGCCTTTAGTATCAAAAAGTAGGAGAACAGTCATGAAAGGAATTGCTTCTTTTTTAAAATAATGAATTTTTTGTGGTTTACGGGGGCGTTTCCAGATAATATTTTTTAAACCAGTAAGCTAGACAGAGATAAAACATGCCGAGCAGAATACAGGGTTACAACCAGAAGAAAAACTCTCAAAAGGAAAAACCCAGTCCAGCAATATTTCTACAGTGCAGTTTTTCACCATGTGGTTCATTAAACACTGGCACAAGTTTCCCAGAGGTCGTAGAGTCTACTTCATTGGAGATACCCGAACTCAGCTGGACATGGCTCTGAGCAACCTCATCTAGTTGGACCTGCTCTGAGCAGGAGCCGGACGAGACATCTCCAGAGGTCTCTTCCAATGTATATGACACCGTGATTTTTACAGAGCTGATCTTAGCCCCACTGATGCCTTTAGGACAGCCTCCTCCCGCATGTGTCTTCTGTTCAGTCTCTTTGGGTGGGATTCATTTCACGTCCCAGCCCCAGCAATGACTTTGGTTCCTTCAACCGTCAGTGTCAAGAAACAGCCATTTCCAGCAGCAGTTCAGTACATATTTGTTATCTTCTATTTTAGGATGGGGTACATCTGGACATGCCTGTCTCATTCCACTAAGTTTATCAGAGGTCCAAACAAGTAGCTTTGGTGGGTCACTGAACTTCAGACAGCACCATCAGGTGAAGCTAATCCCACCCTAGCAGGGCAAGTACCAGCAGCTCATGGTTCATGCACATCTTCAGAACATATTTTCACGTTGCTGTTGTCTTGCATCAAATAACGTCTGATTTAGATGGAGAAATAAAGGAGCAGCTACAAGGCTCATTTGTAAAATCTTCAGCTCATTTCAGGGAAGGAGAAACAACTGCTGTCAAGGTCTGGTGATGGTGGTGGTGCCACCTGGGTTTGTTCCCTGTTAGAGGAAAGCCAGGAGATGAAGCTGTTAACACCTGGAACACACACCTAAACCAAACCAAATAAATAATGGCCCTGTGGCTCTGTAGGGCAGATTGGGGAGAAATGTTGGACCATTTGAAGGGCTCTGGTCTGACCAAATATGCAGCTTCAGCAGGCCCAGATCGGTTGTCTGCAGCTGAGCAGAGTGCCATCGTTTCAATACCATTTTAAAGCATTGTCTTACTTTGGTTAACAGGGTGCCTTTTGTGATATAATGCGGTGCTATTTTTTTTTTTGCTTGTGATAACCAAGATGAAAAACATACAGATGTTGAAATTCCTTCATTAAGCAGTCCAGCCTTTGTGATATAATATCAACTTTTTTTTTTCCCAGAAAAGGGATTTATAAATATAACCGATTCTAAAGAAGATTTTGAAATTGGTGAGGAAGAGTTCTGCTTTGAAGTTAACTTTACAGCATATCCACCAGTTAGATGCATGTGGCTATTTTACCAAAAAACATTTCCATGTAAACAAAGTTACAATGCGGATGGACGCAGGTACTTGAATATTTTGGAATAATTTGATTAATAGTGTTTCCTCTTTATATTTCATTTGGACTGCTTACTGTCCATGTTTTGTACTCTCTTTGTGTTTTTAAAATGTGGCTGGGCCACGTGATGAAGCTGTGTTAACAAAAGGCACTCAAACATTATTTTGGCTTTCAACAGCGATTCATGTAGATGATTTCTAGAACCATTTTATTCTCCATGTTATAATAAACCCTTTGGTAAGTCACGCTTCTGGCAACCCTTTAGTTTATATGCATTTTGCCATTCCCTTTCTCACTAACATCATTTCTCAGTTACAGATGTATTGCAGTTTTCATACGGGATCACAAGTTCTACACGTTCCCCTTTTGTCATCCTGTTCTTGATGATGTTCCCAGTGTCTTTCAAACCGCTCAGATCAAGTCCAGGGCCCCATAGTTTCCCAGGCCGCTGTTAGATCTGTTGGACTGTGCCTGTGCCACAGAAACATCGCGTTCTGCTCATTACCCAGGTCATGTATTCTTCCACTGCTGCAAAACATGTTTTGAATAAACCTGCTAGTTATCTACCTTTTCCGTTATTTCCTACAATGAATTTCTGGCATCAATCCTGTTTAAGGCTAATGTTTTCTCCATTCCCTAGGCTTCCTAATTTCTTGATAACATTATCTAATTTCCTTCAGAGTTTCTTTCAGGGTGGTCTCATAGCTGTCGAGGTAACAGCTCTTATTCACCTCAATGAAAATAAAGCCAAGCTGCTCCTTTAAAACTGAGCAGGACCCAGGCAGGAGTTAATGCGGCTGCGCTGATTTCTTCTTATGTTCTTAAAACCTCTCTTAGCATCTGCATAAAACTGCGTCACAGCCTTGATTACACTTTTTATGATTTCTTTCCTGGGTATTTTGGTACACTGGGTTTTATCTGCTAGCTTGTCAAGTCATCTTTGCAACAGACTGGCCTTTTCATCTGCATCAGATGGTCTATTGGAGTGAGACCTTCACGAGCTTCAGAGACAGCTCAGCTCAGATTAGTAAATTGTCATCTCCTGGCCATGGCCACAGGAACTCTGTCCCTGCTGATAAAGTGAGGGCTGTCAGCAAACTTCGATAGCGTTGGGTGGGTGTTGGTGACTAATCTGCAATGCCTGACGTGGGCTAGGCAGATCTGTTCTTTGTGGTCAAGAACCGGTTTTGGAAATGAAGTCTCAGGGGATGGCCATGAGCATTTGCTCATCCTTGTCCAACTGGTACCTCCTTCCAGCTGGTAATGCCGAGTTGATTTACCTTGCAGCTGGTCTGGACCTCTCCTTACTGCTTGTAAGAGCAGGAGTCCGTTTTGCCTGGATGATTGACAGCTGGTATAAATTCCATCCAGAAAAGAAGAAGGTATTACAGACTGGGCCAACAATAAGACATTTTGGGAACTGTTGAAATAGCTTAGGTCACTCTCATTAATTGGTAAGGTGCAGCTGCTGGTGGCCTGGGGTTTATGAGTCAATTCAGATAGCCTTTGCAGCACAGAAGCAGCGGTTGCTGAGTGCTGATCACCCTCTGCAGGGCAGGGGAAAGTCCAGCCTATGTCCCTGGGGCAGCACGTCCTGGGCTGGCTCAGCCGCCGCCAACCTGGCCACGGCCACAGCCACGGCCCAGGCCACCGCCGCCCCAAAAACCTCACCACCCCAAGCATCGCTGCAGCCTGTCCTGGAGGCTGCTTCGAACAGACAGCTCAGTCATCCGGCTGACTATGCTGTTCATTAAATGCTTTTTTTAAAAAATTAATGTTCATTTTAGGTAGTTATGCTTTGCAGTTATTTATCATTCTATTTATTTTATTGAAAAATAGAATTGAGGGAAGAAGACATTAATTTGGTGATTATTTTAGCTGGCACGTACATTCTTCTGTACAAACATCCCCCAGAGCTATCCAGTTTTGGTTGAATACTAGCGTTGGATAGATAACGTCTCACCTGAGGAAAAAGAGTAAGGGTTGATATTTCATTCATTTTGAAGTCCCCAGAAGCAGCAAGGGGTAGGGAGGTCAGGAGATCCTGCCCACAAGCTGTAGCACTGGAGATTTCCGTCTTTTTAAAGTTTCTCAAAACAAAACGAAAAGGTCATCCCATACCTTAATATATTGTGAGCCTAACTTTACATATTTTAGTTGAGTTTTGTGTAATCCCATCTCCCAACACTTCTACTTTGTTCCTTTCATATCCTTTTTCATTTCCTATTTTTCTTTTTTTTTTATTTCTGCCATTTCCTTATCAAATTGTTCCTCCTGATTATAGATCATATTCAATTTTATTAATTAACTCTGTCCCCTTCTTTAGCTTTTAATTTCAAGTCCCAAGGGTTCATCTCTCCTGTCAGTGCCCTTATGCGTTTTCACAGATTCCTTCAAATTTCCATTCTCTACTTGCTTTTGCTGTCTCTCTGTTTTAGCACACTGCTGATTTTCACTTCCCTCCTAAAAGCAGATGAGTTTTCATACGTGGAACGACTTCTGTTAAATTTATAATGTTTATCTTACATCCCCTTATATTTTCAGGTATCAAAGACATTCCTTTTTGATGACTTTCTCATTGTTTCATTAGGATTTAATCCTTCAGATTTAGGATTTCAAAAGCAACAAATGATTTGTGGTTTCTCCTGCCTTCAGTATCCATTTTGAGGCAGCTGAAAAGGGGTCTGATTTTAAAAAGTCCCTGAGTTCAGGGACATCTTTAAGGCCATTTCAGATGAAGACATTCAAAAGTCAATGACTATATGGAGGTGTTGCCGGCAAAATTGCCGGTGGCTTCAAGGTGAATGTTCTTGCTTTAGAATTGGAAGGTGATCCTTGGTCTCTTAGTTCATTTGTATGTATCCTGCTTAATGGGAAACACCCTGATTTTAGTTATCTAGATTTCTTGTTCCAAGCTCGTTGCTGTTTTCTCTTTGCAAATTACTGGTATACGCTGTCTTTTTTCTGTCTACCTCAAACTCCCTGATATGCCTGCTTGCCTTTACCACTAAAGTTGAGTTGGGGGCCTCCTACCCAGTTTTCCTTGAGCAGTCAGCTAAAACATCTGCCCTCAAAATGCCAGCAGCTAAACCTAAGAAGAGATTTTTTTAAGTGCTCTTCTAACCTTGGTGAGATTTAAATCCGACAGTCATCCTGACAGCAATAACCTAGACAAAAGGACAGAAATAGGATGCCGTGTCTGTACGGTGATGTGTTCCCTTCTCCCTGCCTTATCCCATGTCCCGTAAAGGAGCGACTCAACAGATCAGTCGTGCGGGAATCTTTAAGTCTCTGCAGTCCTCGGTTGTTAGCTTCTGCCCAGAGATGTGTTGGAGCCCTCCCTCACCATTTCCATTCTCACAACCCATTTCCTCCATGGTTTGGGTCTTGGTTTGCTGCCATTGCCATAGTGGTGCGTAGAAGACTGGCCTTCCTCTTGCAGAAGTGTCTTGATGGTTGGTGCTTTGTCTCATTGATAACGAACTTACGATGATGATCTCATTTTTGAGTTTCTGTCCGATCTTTCCATTGGGAGACGTTTATCTTGTATGATCCTACCTGTCATTGTTATTTCCTAATACTGCTTATCATATCAGCTAGAAACTCCTATCAAAATCCTTTGGAGAGTAGCGAGATTGATCTTTTGCTGGTCTTAGCATCTGTGCCAGGTTGTGTTGTACGCCTGGTCTTCCAATGGATTGGTGACAAAATCACCACCTGACAGCCCACATGCACTCCAGGAACTATGAGGAAAATTGCAGAATGAAGTCAATACTGCAGGAAAAAAAATATCCTTTTATCAAAACAGTTACATTCTGGGGTTTATATTCTCTAATCAAAAATATTTTTTTTCTGGGTTCCTCCTTAGAAGGTGTTGAATTGTTTCAAACATATATACAAGTCATGACTGCATTTAAAATATCTTTCAAGATGGTCTTTTGTCCTTTTCCCTCATTTTCTTTGCTCCACAGTATTTCATCAAAGTTCTGCAACCACCAGCACCAGTCTGGGATATATGTATTTTATGCGGAAAATGATGATACCGTCACGACAAAAAAATTCACGCTGTCCGTGAGAAGTAAGTGAGAAAACAATCCCTGTAAAGATTTGTCAAAGTCTGGGATTTTGCCACTGATATAAATGGAGCTAATATGTTGCTTTTCCCTGGGTATTCCCCATTTCGTTTGCATAGATTTAGTGTTTAAAATGGAGGAGAACAAGCCAAAAGTGTGATTGTCTGCGCTGCACTACTGAAATCCAGGCACTGGCTCGGAGAAGGATGCCGGCTGCTTATGGATCATGTTTCTTGTGTTGATCAAGGATGGAGGACAGAGGAAGGAGAAGGAAGATATTAATTTTTTTTCTCTTCCCTTTAGTTGCGACAAACACAGAGGACAGAATATGGGAAATTAGTCATATACTGAGAAAATTAATACTTCTTAAGAAAACCACAAAACCTAGGAGCTCTGTAAAATACAACTGTATTCTAACTCTACAGAACCAGAATATACGTGACTACTGTAGAGACCACAAGAGATACACAGTGAGAGGAAACACTTATCCTCATTAGGGGTTAGCTTTCTATGGTGTATTCATGTCTTTTTTTTCCTTACGGCATTTGTGAGTGTGGAGACCCTTTGGTGTGTGACACCTACGTTAGGGCTGCAATGCCTCCTACACCCCTGCCCACGATTCGCAGGCACGCACCGTCTTGGCTGGTGCTCTTGGTTCTCTCCGTTCTGCCATGATCTCACCCTTGCTCTAGGTTAGGGAGCATTATTTATTATATATTATTTATAAAGGGATGCTCTGTGCACATTTGATAGGAGACAGACACCCAGAACTGGCATGTCGGGGGAGTCCGAGGGCTGAATGCTTGCTCCGGGTCAGAAAAGCAGAACTCAAGACTTCTAATTTTGGCTCTGCCATTGTTTTGCCAGTACAGAGAAGTGGCTACTCCCCTTGCCTTGCCCACACCGCCGTCCCACAGAGCCAAGGCAGGGGGTTGGAGGAAGGAGGGCTGCGCCCAGCCCTCACGGCGAAGCGCGGGTGGGCTATTTTGAAAACACAGAAGCAGATCTTGGTCTCGGCAGATGTAGCATTGCCACATAAACATAAAAGTTTTGGTGAGTGATGTGCTGATAGAAATTGTCTTGTTGCAGGAAAGCCTGACGTAACGATGCAGTTGTTGTTCAAGCAGATCTCCTGCGTCGCTGACAGTTACCCTGCCTCATCCTGGGTTTGGAGGAATTGTCCTGAACTCAACTCATCCAAGTAAATCGTTTTCCCTCTTTTTAATTCATTGCAAAGACCATATCTGAGCTATCCTTGGTTAAATGAAGGCTGGCCTTTAAGAAACTAAGTGTAAAATGCACCCTCAACCGGTTGTACAAAGGGACGTGGTGGCCCGCTCCAGGGGAACCAGATCACCAAAACTAGGGAAAGTCTTCAATTTTTTTATTGGCATCAAAAGAAGTCGATAAAGATCTGTATCTCAGGCTCTTTACACTGACATGAACCCTGCTGGGTTTATCTCAACAGTTAGGTAGTTACAAAGTCCGATCTAAGTTTTTCTCTTGGCCTGTCAAACTCCAGAGGGCATTCAGAGAATGCATTGGTGAATACGGGCTTCGTTAATTCGTTCAGCTTTGGCTCATACAGCTGTTACCAAAGCCAGGAAAGTCCATGGGAGTGTTTCCAGTAAAGTTAGTGAGAGTGTTTCCATTTCCTCTATTTATTTGGGGCAATGAGTCAGGCCCTAAAATTTCAAGAGATGCTGAAACAGCTTTGAGCTGTTTGATGAACTCTGCGTGTTTTATTTCACATAAGCCGAAGAACTAATAAGCCCACAGTGCAGGAGAGTACTGGGTCAAATTATCTTTTGAAAGATCCTGGATAAAGCTCTAAGTATTTTAACTAGATGTTAAAAAAATTATCTAGACCGTTTTCTCATCCATACCTCTGAAGAGGCTTCCTAACATCTATCTGTTTGTGCAGAAAAGGACGAGGAGAGAAAACATCCAGCTAGTGAGTTTAAAATACTCCTTAAAGCAGCTTTCTGGAAAGAAAATGCTGTGACATTTCTTTTCTTGGGAACTTCCACATGTAGAATCTAGTACTATGTGTAAAGCTGAATAAATTTGATTTATTTACTTACTTACTCATTTATTTATCGAGTATACGGTTGGACTTGATGATCTTTGAGGTCTCTTCCAACCATAATGATTCTATGCTTCTATGATTTTATTTATGTGGACAGTAAATTCGGCAGTAAGCTGATGAATGATAGAAAAGCTAAAAGTCAAAATTATCTCTGTGTCGGCTTCGTTTCCCTCAAGTATAACGTTCCCTCTTTCTATATATCAGATCTTAAATAAGTCATTAATACAGGGTGGATGCTCTCCATCTTGAGTGAGAGAAACTTTGTGGTTGGAGTCACATACCTTCAGGGAAAGGAGTTAGAACTTTTACTGTGGGTTCGTTTTGTATTTATTGTTTTAGTAGCGGCCCATTTGGAGCTGCTCAGTGGTACGAGTGTTTGAGGTAAAGGTGAAACCGGTGGGAATAGAGCAGTAGTGGGGGGTCGTGTCGGCTGTGAAATTGGTGGAGGTCCTGGGGTTCGGGGGTGCAGGCGATGGAGAGTGGGAGTGAGCCCGAGGTAGGAGGTAGGGAGGCCAGTTCACCCCCCATGGGCCCTGCCGTGTCCATCACCAAAAAATAAGACTGGCAGCAGCTCTGAAGCCTCACTCTAGCAGTGACAAATAAAACCCAAGCCCGTCTATCCCGCTCTCCTTCCCTCCCTCCCAGCACAGACATAAGACTTGTTTTGAAGGATCCCACCTTCTCCCCTGGAAAATGGTACTGCGAACCAAAAATCGAAACTGGTCTGCTTTCTTTTTCAGCTGTACGGAAGAAATCACTGAGGGGATTCACAACTTCTTGCCCCAGAGGAGATCCCTGGGGTCGTGGATTTCAAGCAGCGCATTAGATGTTGAGGAGACAACCACCACCTTCTCCGTGGAGTGCTGTGCAAACAACTCTGCCGGTTCAGCCTGCGAAAAGAGTTTCATTAATCTGTCAGGTACCATAAGCCAGTGCTTTAGCTCGAGTAAAGCTGGCGTGGCAGAACTTACAGTATTTTTTATCTGGCTACATGGCTGACGGTGCGATGGCATTGCAGGTAAAACACGAGCGCCGTGTGTATACGGTGTGGGAAATGGTGGGTGAATGGGAGACACAAGTCTCTTTTCTCCGATCCCAAAGCAGGGGCCTCCCTCGTTAAAATGAGCAGAAATTTCACATTAATAGGAGGTGCAGGATGGAACCATGGCAATGTTGGGGTCTGCTTTTTTATTTCTTCTTGGTAATCCCTACCTGCAACCTGGAGGCATCAGCTTTGGGAAGAGCCCGAGTCACTTTGGTAGCTGGTGGCAGGTGTGGGCTCTGGTTCTTCTCCTGGAGGTCACTGCGGTGCTGCCAGAGAGGCCCACGGGAGCTCTCCTCACCCCGTGGAAGTCATTGCGTGCCCAAGCATGAGCATGACTGAGCCAACAGACCCACTCAAGGGACAGTCCTCGTCTGAGAAGCAGGAGCAAGGACCAGGGGAGAGACCTTCTTAAATTGCTGTAGGCAAGTGGCAGAAGGCGTAAGCCCTGGTTTGGGAACCTCTGTGCAGTCTCTCTTCTTGTAGGGGACATGGGAGATTCTTTCCTCGTCAGACAAGAAAGTGAATATGATTATTTGCCCGTGCACTTTACACTTGTAACACCATATCCATCCCATAGGGCAAAATGTTTCAGTTACAGGGAAGATGCTGTGGCACCTGGGAAGTGTTTTGAGGCATCCAGATATTTGCAGTACAGAGATTTCCTTCGTCACAGACAAACAAGCTGTTTGGTGCTTTTGACTACAGCTGACAAAAGCTGTGACCACTGATAGAGTTTGAGCATTTATGTTGCAATTACAATGGAAAGTAAGCATAATACTTACGCTCTTAGAAACTACCAGAATATGAGGCCAAGTCTCATGTAACACTTACCTACCCACCGACGCCTTGTAGTATGGTCTGGACTTGTTAAGAGAGCTCCTGGCTGAGCAGCAGAGCGATGCCCCGAGCAGGTTGTGTGCCCTCCACCCGCTGATAACTGGTGCTTCGGTACCCAACGTACATTGCTTAGGGGAAGGCACAGGGAAAGAGGAGGGAGACGTGATGAGAAGAGGAATTGCTTATTCCTCTTTATGCTCACAAAGTCCAGTCCATGGATCACACCAACACCTCTATGCACTTAGATTTATTAATTGGTGTAGCGTTTTTTTGGAATGAAAAGCGATCTCAGAATTGCCCAGCACTGAACGCCTCCTGCCCCGCTCCTTGCTCGGCACGTGGCTCCATCTCATTCCCCACACGGAGGAGGCTCAGGCGTGAGAGGACTGCAAAGCCACCGAGGGTTCTCCGTGCACCTTTAGCTCTACACGCAAGCTCTGATTCAGTGGGTGGTAATATATATCTCTTAAAGTTGCAGGAGCTGTTTCTTCCCCGCCGGACAATGCTGCATTTTACGTCTCTGTTGGATTTTTCCTCCTATTGATCACTTTTTTGTTTGTATTCATTTTTCACAAATACAAAAAGGTAAAAGCAAACGTAAATACCTGCTCTTCTTTTGTTCCTACCAGGCTGTTTCTTCTTCTCAAAGTCTTACTCCACCTTTTTTTTTTTTCTTCCAAAGCAATTTAAATACGAAAGCCAGTTGCAAATGATACAGATGGTAGGCCCATTGGATAACGAGTACATCTACATCGACTTCCGAGAATTTGAATATGACCTCAAATGGGAATTTCCCAGGGAAAATCTGGAATTTGGTGAGCGGTCCACAAGACAAATCACAATGTTGGAGTAGTAGCCTGTGCTGTACCAGCTGCAAATAATATTGGCGTATGGTTTCTTGTAGGATGCGTCCTTGGTTCTGGGGCTTTTGGGAAAGTGGTGAATGCGACAGCTTATGGAATTAGCAGGGCAGGAGATTCAGTCCAGGTCGCAGTCAAAATGCTCAAAGGTACGATAAACTCTGGGTGCCTTTCACAAGCAGTGATGTATTCTGGTGGCTCCAAAGCAAGAGCAGTGATGGATATGTACAGACTTTTGGCAGCTACACCTCACAAATGCTTGGTTTCAAAATGCTTTCAAAAAAGTCCTGTTTCTAGTTTAGAAAGGTATCGCTGAAGTGCCTTCTTCCTGCAGTGTGTTGCATTTTGTCCTACACAGCACAGATCTGCGTTGTGTGGGGAAGGATGGAACCACTCTGCTCTACAGAGAAGGAATGCAAATTCATAGTGCAGATTAGCCTGCTGCTCACATTGGTGACCTGGTCGACTTTGGAGTAAAATCTCATTTTCTTGTAGTCCTGTCTTTTTGTTGCACTCCCTTCGCCTCCTGCATCTGAGCTGGCTTGTTTGCAAAACTTCCAGCACATCTTCCTGTAGTCTTTTCTTCTCGCTGACGCGTTTCCATCCCTCCTTATGGGTCAGGCTTCTTAAACCCCTGATACACCTTCCTGCTTTGCTGTGGCCTCTCTCCAAGCTTTCTTGACCCCTCATAAAAGCGGTGTCCAGGGGTGAGCCTCCCTGGCAGCAAGCAGAGGAGGAGGGCTGCCTCACTGGGTCCCAAGTACCACAAGCCTGTTCAGAGAATCAGAGAATCAGAGAATCAGTTAGGTTGGAAGAGATCTTTAAGATCATCGAGTCCAGCCGTTACCCTGGCACTGCCAAGCCCACCACTAAACCATGTCCCTAAGCACCACATCTACACAGCTTTTAAATATCTCCATGGGGACTCCACCACTTCCCTGGGCAGCCTCTTCCAGTGCCTGACACCCCTTTTGGTAAAGAAATTCTTCCTAAGATCCAATCTAAACCTCCCATAGTGCAGCTTGGGGCCATTTCTTCTCATCCTATCACTTGGGAGAAGAGACCAACCCCCACCTCACCCATCTGTTGATACGTAACAGGATGAGCTTCACGTCAGCAGCAGCACCAGCACCCTGCTCACCCACGTGCTCACCATCCCCTGTTGACACGTGCGTCGGCTTTACGCTTCCTTGGTCCACTCCTTTGCGGTTGTCTTTACGGGAGTTTAACTTGATCGTTTTGGTTCACGTCCCTGATTCACTGAGATCATGACGACCAAATGCTTGCTGAAAAACAAGCCTAAAGCTATTGCTGAAACACAGGGTGGCTTTCTTAGCTATTGGATTGCAACTGGTTGCATGCCATATGGCTGCTAAGACCTTTTTTTCTCTTAGCATTTCTCTCTAACAGGGTTGACTGCCATTTTTCCTGTGCTTGTGAACACCTTCATACGCTGCTGTCACTCCTTGCCAGCCCAAGAATGACAAATACTGACATTTTATGACTGCTTTCCCAAGCATTCAAATGATCGACATTCACACACTCATTTACTTTCCACCTTTGGCTAAATCTTTTTATACTGTACAACGGTTTTTTAGGATGTTCCCAAAAGTACTGTCAGTCCAATGAATTTGAAATGAAGTCTTGCATGTGACAGAACATTGCAACTATTTACATTTTTATTTCTTTGCTAGAGATTTCCAAATCTGTGTTATCTCTTTTACAGAAAAACCTGAGGCTTCAGAAAAAGATGCTCTAATGTCTGAGCTGAAAATGATGACTCACATTGGAAGCCATGAAAATATCGTGAATCTACTAGGAGCTTGTACTGTGTCAGGTAACTTGCAATTGTGGAAAGGTACCAATTAAAACCTCCAGACTAAGGAGGACTCCTGAACAGAAAAGAAAGATCAAAAATTGATCGTTGAAAGCGATACTGAAAACATCCAAGCCGTAATTAGTCGCCTGTTCCTCGGGCTGCTGTTTCTCTCTTCAACCCTGACTCCTGTCTTTGTACAACCAATTGTGCTGGCCCAAAACAAGATGAAGATGAACTGAGAGCAAAGTTAAGGCCATGCATGTGTACAGAAACGGGGCCTTTCTGATTGTACTTGCATGAAGTGGTACAACAGCCCTTCTGTAGAAGGGGTTTTCCTGTTACAGCGGGGGTGGCACTGGTACGGGCCAGTTTAGTAAGGGAAAAGGAAAAACTTACCTGGTGTAAGGTACTTTTGTATCCACATGATTGTGCTTACATAAGAAATTACAATTTTTTTCTTTTTTTAAATCGGGTGGCTCACCTAACAGTGAATTTGTAGAAAGAAGGGGGAAAATGACTAAGAGAGAGACAGGAAAGAAAGGAAACTGAAAAAGAGCAGGGGCAGGAGGGACACCCAAAGAAAGAAGAGGAAAAAAGTGAATAATGAAGAGAGAGACAACTTTTTAAAGGACTGAATGTAAAAATAAACTGAGGATGGAAAGAAGCAAAGATGGGCTAAGATGAAAGTGGCGAGATATTATCACTAATTAATTACTGTGGGACTCTTATTATCATTGAGGCAACATACAGGGATATTCTTGTCCCAAGAACTCCTTCTCTGGCCGGTCCAGCAGTGAACGGGAGCGGATGAAGAGAGGCTAAAGAACAGATCACCCTGGGGAAAGGGCAGGGTGTTTGTCCGTATCATGAATTTTAACATCTGCCACTGAAAAACTGGATAGATTTTCTGCCACGGGTATTTCTGAAGTCAGAAGGACCAAAGAGAACAGTTAACTCTGTTTCCCCAGTTTGCATCAACAGCAATACTGTCGTGCAAAGATGTCTGAGGCACAAGAGGAAAGCAGAGAAATAGGTTGGTGGTGGTGGCTTTAGCTGATTTGAAACTATCCTGCCACTGCCTCCTGGAAAATTTGGCAAGATGTGATGGTGTAGGCAGGAGAGCTGCAGGGAAAACCTGCTTAGTCTGGCAGGGTCGGACAGGAACACTTCCAGCCTTATCCGAGTCCCGTGTTCGGAAACATTTACATGGTTCTCTCTCGTTCACATCCATCCTCTGAGAGACTTTACAGGCTTTTTCCAGTGTGCTCTACCTTGCTTGACAGGGGCCTTCTGGCAAAAATGTCCACAAATTCGTAGTCGGTCTTTCTGAGCCAGAAGTGGTGATGCCAGTGTAAGGCTTTGGAGGGCTGATGTGCGACCACTCTGAGCTCCTGGCCGTGTGTTCTGCTCCCGCTGGCTTGTCATCGCTTTTCTCCGAGCCTGCCTGGGTCAGAAACTGGAGGTATTTTTCCTTTCTTGAGAAAGTAACCTGACCCGTGCTCCACTCAGACACGTCCCCTTGCAAGGTCTTTCCCTCCTATAGGTCCTCTCAGCGAGGAGACTTGGGTTTCAGGTGGCCTTCATGGAAAAAAAAAAAAGATATTTCTAGAGCATGAAGGTAGTGCAGATAAATGAAAGGGCGTAGGTCAAAGGATACCAATTCACACCATCAAGATAATTAGCAGGGGTCCTCTTTTTCTTGAACCATGTACGGGTTAGACAATCTATTGCATCTTTATAGCCTGTGCTGTCCTCCCCGGTGCCATCGGCGCGGGGAAGGATCTTTGTGCCTTCATAGGGATTTGTAGTCCATCTTGGGAGATGCGCCACAGGGGAAAACCGGCTACACAGACTTTCCCAAGGGACTTTACAGGCAGTACCTACCGCCAGCAAACATCACCTGCCCATCAGTGTACAAGTTATCTACCCGGGAAGGGGAGATGCTTGGGACGTTTAATACAGAGTGGTCCTGGGAGAAGAGGAGGCATCATTAGAGGTTTAATGGGGAGAGTGCTATAGATAGCAGGAGGCATTTATATTTCTGACTATTTCAGGACCAATCTACTTGATATTTGAATACTGTTGCTATGGTGACCTTCTGAACTACTTAAGGAGCAAGAGAGAAAAGTTTCACTGGACACTGACGGATCTTTTTAAACAGCACAACTTCAGCTTTTACCACAATATCCATTTGGACCAAAATTCCAGGTAAAGCATTCAGCAACAGTTTAATACTTTAGAAAGCTACTGTCTCTTTTTAAGCTGCATTCTCAGCTGTGCCGTAAACAGGTGAAATTAATGAGTTCTTGAGAACGTGCCTTCACGTACTTTAATAAGCAATGCCTTGAGAGGAACTGAGATTGGATTCTAGTTGTGATGTTCTTCTCACTGGACTGCGAAAAACTCTTGTTTCTCTTCCCAGTTTTGAGAAGACTCATGTCTGTGCCTGGATTTTTAATAGCAATAACTGATTGTGCTTTTTCACTGCAAATCACGTGTAGAAGATTCTGTGATACGCTGTGTGTAACCTTTGAAAATGTGTGGTCCGCTCCAGGAAGGGAACTCACCTGACGTGCAGTGTGAGTACGACTCTATGCAGAGAGGATGAATTTGAAATTGCACAGAGAAGTCAAAACGTAAATGTGACATCTGGATCGAATGGGACTGTGCTGTATTCTGAGGAAGGTGAGAGATTAGTTGCTTTTATCTCCAGTAATTCTGTGATTATTGTATTTATTATATTATTGATCTAAGTAGACTGGATTCAGCGGCACAGGAGGCCCCTTTCTGTCATATGTCTCTCTTCCCTCCTGGCAAGGATTTTCCTGGAGAAGGGTGCAACAACTCTTAAGACCAGAGGCTGATGTTTCTGGTAATGCTATACATAGTATTTGAGTGTGAAAATACTCTTTGTTTTGTGTCTGAGCAAAGGATGCAAAAGATGGATGCTCTTTGTGATGTTGTTCGTGGTAGGAGCACGTGAAAATCCTTGCAGTAGTCAGTGGAATTAATCGGAGAGTGAGGAAGCCCATGGAAAACTCGTACTTTTGGTTGTTTTTTACAGATAAAATTAAGCACGCAAGCAGACAGGTGGATGAAGAAGAGGATTTTAATGTGCTCACTTTTGAAGACCTTCTTTGCTTCTCATATCAAGTCGCCAAAGGAATGGAGTTTCTGGAGTCCAAATCGGTATGGCGAAGGGTAGCAAACTGTTTCGATAAACCAGGTCAGTCGATAAAGAGCAGACTGAAGAACAGAGCCACTCAGTGGCAGGCTGGAACCATACCTCCTTCCCTGGCTTTACAGCAAGGACTGGAGTGCAGTTTTAGGCACGACCCTGGGTTAGAAGTGGCTGCCCTGCGTCCTGCTGCCTGCCCTGGCCCCGGCCCCTGGCCACCAGTGGCCGGGGACTGGCCAAGGGACTGGCCAGCCCGCTCATTCCCCACGCTGTTTAAGTGGAAAGAGGCACAGGTTGAGAGAGCTCTGTCTGAGACAAGGGAATTTTCTTCTGCTGATACCAAGCGCTGCAGAGCGTTAACCCTTCCTTTCCTTCTAAGTGCATTCACAGAGACCTGGCTGCCCGGAATATACTAGTGACCCACGGAAAAGTGGTGAAAATATGTGACTTTGGCCTTGCCAGAGACGTAGTAAACGACTCCAACTACATTGTCAGGGGCAATGTAAGTTCCTGAGTGCTCTCTGTTTTTCATCCCATTGTAAGACTGACAAGGAACCAAGAAAGTGAAGCTTTTCATTTTCAAATTCCTTGTTAGCTTTATAGGTATCTGTACAGACAGTGCAAAAAATCTCACTTTTTCCTGCCTGTGGCAAATGCAAATTCTTAGCTTGTAATTAACCCAATCAAGCTAGTGCCGTAAATGAGATGGCACCCATGTGCTTTCTAAAGCACACTGAAATCCGTTGATGGAAATGCTGGGAATTGTTTAAGGACAATAATAGTATAGGGACACTAGCATATACGTAGGGGTACACCAGATCCTCTGGCTGTGCGGACATCTCCATCTCAGCTACTCACCCTGAAAGTCAGAGGAGGGATGAAGGTTTTTCCAGGGCTGAGCTCATCTCTCCCTTAAACAGTCATCTAAAACGGATGAGATGACTTGGCTCCTTCGAAGGGCCTATTTCTCTCTCTCAGGGAAATTTAAAGGGACTACTGAGAGAGGCCCAGCTTTCCACGTAGCAAACACGAACCGATACTGCTGAAGCAGTGAGCACTGCAGTGAGTCACCTAGAAAGCCTGTGTCACAGCATGACCCGGACTCCTTTCCCCCTCTGTACAGGCGCGTTTACCAGTTAAATGGATGGCTCCTGAGAGCTTGTTCGAGAGGACGTACACAATGAAGAGTGATGTCTGGTCTTATGGAATATTACTATGGGAAATATTCTCTTTGGGTATGTTCTGTAACGCAGCAAAAGAGCAATGCTTGGTTTTGGCAGCTTCTGAATTAACGTGTGTTCTCCAATATTTTCCACAGGTGTAAATCCCTACCCTGGTATTCAGGTTGATACAAACTTCTACAAATTAATACAAAGTGGATTTAAAATGGACCGACCGTATTATGCTACAAAAGATATGTAAGTGTATTTCCTGAGTGATGCACAGCATGGGAAATTAGATTTACTAGGTCACTGTTTGTATGACCTTCATTTATTGTACGCTGTACCTTGCTCAAAAAAAGTTGCAAAAGGTGAGATCTTCCTTGAACTGTGACAAAAGCTGCTTGATCCTGCAGGTTTTGTCCTAAAGCAGAAGTGATCAACACTAAAGGTTAGGTGTGTTGGAAAGGACCAATTTATTACCTTTATTTAATTGTGCCTTCCTTTCCCAGGGAACTTCTTGTTCTCAAATCACAGACTTTAGGGTTTTTTTTCTTTTTCTTATTTTTTTCTTTCTTTTTGCAAAAGCTATGTTATACCATATTCATTTTGGATATTCACTAAATCTTTGGTGATTTTTTCTACACTTTTTTTTTTTTAATTGACCTTTAGCATGTTTGATTCAGTTCCAGGAGGCTAGGGATCCTCTTAGGGAAAAACCCTGCTTAAGGAAGAGTTGTCAGGAGCTATTCCTGTGCCCTCAGCACACAATTTTCAGCCTGTGCCTCTGTGCCACGGTGGACTTTGCCTTCAGGTGGACCCCAGGGGACAAGAGAAGAGAAGGTGGTGGAGAGCTACGAGACCTGGACCATGGAGGAAAGGGTTGTCTGAGCTCTTCTGGCAAATGTTTCATAGATGGCCCAGGGACTCAGTGCCTTGCTGTGAGGCTATACTGTTCTTATCCTCTCTATGTAAAGACTGTAGTGGCATTAAAGGTACAGGGGAATCTGACAGATTGACCCCAGAAAGATTGCTGGGGGCCTTATCAATATCAGGGAACCTATCGACCCGGTAAGTTTGCGAGGGACTTTAGCAGGTAGGTGCTGTACTGGTCCCTGACGAAACTGTAAAATCTGTAAGGTGGTGTTTAAACTTCAGAAGGATTTTTGTGATGTCAAATTCCACAAAAAGACTTGTTGTGAAAACTGTCCTCAAGACTATAGGGTCTGCAAGGAGCAGGGTCAGCCCCAGAGTCACACAGCAATTGTGTTCCTACCTTTTTCTTTATGGAAACTGAAAAACAAGGTTAGCGTGCCAGTATGTACCATCCAGGGTGAAATCCTGGCCCCAGTCCTATGAGGAGGATTTTGCTAAGGACTCCGGTAAAGCCATGTTCTTCACTTCACCCTTTTTCCTCATCTTTCTTTACCTTTCCCGGTGATGCAACATGCTAAATCTGGCCTCTTTGTATAAAATCGTCCTGGTGCCCCATGATTCCCATCCAAATTCTGCACTTCCACGTAGTCACTCACAGAGAGTCCCACCGCTGACATGTCTCCTGTATCACCTCTTTGCTCCTGCAGCTATCGCGTGATGCTGTCCTGTTGGGCCCTTGACTCCAGAAGAAGACCCTCTTTTTCTCAGCTGGTTTCCTCTCTTGCCGGTCAGCTGGCTGAGGCAGAAAGAGCAGTAAGTAAACACAGAAAGAAGAAAAAGGTTGCTTGGGGATTTTTGTGACCCTGTGTGAGCTGAGAAATAGTCTTCTGGTTTCTATACAAGTGTGCCGTTGTGTTAGGGAGCTATTCCCTGGGGATCTGTGTAAGAGTTTGGGGAAGTTTTTCCTGCCATCGGAAGGAATCCTCATCTCTCTGATGAGGATTTCTTTTCTCCCACTGCCTGCACCAGGGCTCTGGAAGGCTGAAATCTCTCAGCCTGGGCTATGGGAATGGGCTTCCCTTGTGCAGGAGCCGACGCAGCTGGTTTTGCTCATGCTGGTGGCTGCCACGGGAGGGGAGCTGAGCCTGGGGCCACCTGCCAGGGCTCTCACGGGGGGCCACCACAGGTATGTGCCTCCACGACCTCACAGACGGGCCCTACGTCATTCTCAAAGGTCAAAACAATAAACAGGATCTACGGAAGTTATATTCCATCCTTACCAGGCTGTGGTCCCTTCCTCAGGGAGGATAAGCAACTCCTTTCTAAAGTACTGATTCCTACCTGGGTATCAGCTCTGGGCTAGACCGGCTTTTTCCCAGTGCCGTGTCCTTGTGAACTTTTGGGGATGTGGGGAGCTTTGACTGACTCTTGCCTTTGCAGCCCGGAGCCTCTCCGCAGGCTCTTAGCCTGGCAGAAGCTGCTGAGTATAGAAGCAGACTAAAGAGGAACTTCAAAGCACTGTACCTAGACAAAAAAATCCTCCTTTGCAGTCCAGTGCCCTTCCTCAGCCCAGCTCTTTTTGGCTGGACAAGATCCATCTCACTTAGGCAGTTGTCTGGACTCCCTCCGGAGTCAGAGGCAGGTAACGGGGCAGGTACGAGCGTGATTCTCCCTCCAGGCGAGGTGGGCTGTACCTTACAAGTGCCTGCTTCGCAGGGAGAAAAGCAGTTTTCCAAGTACAATAAGCAATAACAGAAGATATCTTTTATTTCCTCTTCCCAATTCCAGGTTTACCAGAATATGAAGAAAAATGTTCCTACACGCAATTCCAGCATCAAAACTAAACCACGTGTAAGCAGGGATGAGGAATCTCTGCTATCCCCGACTGTGCTCCAGGATGAAGACTCTCGGGTTGAAAAATAGTTTGGGTTATGGATTTGATCTCAGGATTTTCATAAACTCCGTGTAGCATAAATGTTTTGTATCACCTCTAAGAAGAAAACGTTACCAACTGCTGCTCTATTCACATTTCTTATGGGCTAGTCCATATTTACGTTACTTTGAGGAGAAGACACAATTCATTACTCTGAATTCAGCAAACACATCTGTCGCAAGACAGAAGCAGTGGTCTTTTCACCGGCTCTCTGCCACTGGATATCTCTTTTCCTGGTTTTATGTAAATAGTGTCTAATCAATGCATTCAATTCAGACTATTCTTGCCATATTGCAAGCGAACACAAGAAAATCCATGGGTTTTCAGTCGATGTTTACAAGCACGGACTATGCACCTAGAGAGAACGGGTGTGATTTCCAGAAGTGCTACTCACATCTTCATCTCCAGATGTCGGCGAGCGTGGGGAAAAAGGCCACCGGAGTACCCAACTTTAGAAGCCCAAATTTAAAAATAACAGCCTTGTTTTACAAGGAACTATAAAATTGAGTGTGTGTAACTGTCTCATCCTGACCATCTCGGTTGCCGTGAAGTTCCCGGTAGGTGTCCAGTTCAGGTGAGTTCATTTCATCGAGCTTTAGGTGCTCGGGTGGTCTCTAGTCGCCCCGGCGACATTGTGCATCTGCTGATGAGAGCACTTCCAGTGATGCCTTTCTGCCTAAAACAAGCATCTAAACCAAGCAGGAGAAGTGATGTTTGGAAATGACCTGCGGCCTCCCTGGTCTAGAAAAGCCAGGTGGGAGTCTCCAACTGGAAGTCTCACTTCGACTGAGTTAGCACTAATTCCATTCTTTGGGCTTTGTGTGTTTTAATATCAAATAAAAATGTTTAATTTGAAAGAAATTATATCCTGTAGCAATTTAGGAATGTAATATCATCACTCTCGGTTCCCAAAAGTCAGCCTGGGTGTACGAACCCTGCTGCAATAAACTGGGAGTACGTCTCTCTAACTTTCTCCCAGACTCCCAGGACGATAACCAGAGGCTTGATGGGTTTTTAAGTAGATAAAAAGACACGTTATTTTCATGATGAGGTTTGGGGATTTGTAAATATGGCTTTCATAATGACTTAACAGGATACATTTGTGTACATCACGGTGAATCAAGATAAGAATATACCGGTTAATAGTTTTCTTCTCTTTTACATTTCACAAGATGCTAACTGCAGTTAGGATTTCCAGTGGCGAGTGTTGTAAATGAATAACTGTTGGGGTAGACTATGCTATCACACCAACTGAGCTGCTCTTTACTAACAGTGTCTGAAAATAACGGATGTTGTAATACAGCCATTATGATTTGTATATTTTTGTTAAGGTTGTTAAATTAGCAAGGAATCGTTCATTTTTTAATCAGATATAAACTGCTGCAGAATAAGTTGGAAATATAAGGGTAGAAATAAAACTTTAACGTTGCATTTTCTGGAAAATATATAAATGACTTTTAACATATTCGTAACACAGTTTTGAAGTGTTCAGCAGCGAGCT